TTGATTCCCTCTTTGTGTTTCATCCATTGCCCCCTCGTGTCCCCTTGATTCCCCCTTTGTGTTTAATCTATTGCCCCCTCGTGCCCCCTTGATTCCCCTTTTGTGTTTGATCCATTGCCCCCTCGTGCCCCCTTGATTCCCCCTTTGTGTTTCATCCATTGCCCCCTCGTGCACCCTTGGTTCCCCCTTTGTGTTTCATCCATTGCCCTTTTGTGCCCCCTTGATTCCCCCTTTGTGTTTCATCCATTGCCCCCTCGTGCCCCCTTGATTCCGCCTTTGTGTTTCATCCCTTGCCCCCTTGTGCCCGCTGGATGCCCCCTTTGTGTTTCATCCCTTGCCCCCTTGTGCCCCCCTTGATTCCCCCTTTGTGTTTACGCTCAAAGGCTTTGAGCACGGGTGAGAATTGGAACTCCCCAGTTGTACCGTTTGCGGGTAGATTGTCGATGAAGACCTTTCTGATAGATTGACTCGCAGAAGTCCCAGAAATAAAATTTGGTTTGTCGAAGCTAAGGTCTCCCTATCATTGATTGGGTGGTTCAGAATTCCCCACAGTTTGCGGTTTTGTTGGCAGATGACCGGGGAAGCCAAGCCTGAAATACTCGGGCTGAACACAAGTCTTTGATGAACTTGCGGCAGGATGTGGAAGAGAAGCAGGAGAAGGTTGCCAACCCGAGCGGCTACCTGAAAGCGGCAGTGGCTCGTGAGGGCTCAGCTCCTGCAATGTCCACCTATCCAACCTACCGCCAGGCGGAAACACCACCTGCCAACGTCATGCATTCTTCCATGCATGTGGCTCAACCCACATTTTTTCTCCCCACCAGCATCACAAAAGCATGCCTGAAGAACACCTGCCCCAACATGTGGATGCCGTATGATGTCGTACACCTTGGACGCAAAAAGCATGGGCCCGAGCAACATGCCACCAACGGTTGCGACCAAGGGCTCAACCAACGGGTTACCGTCAACCTAGTCGAATCCGATGGACCTGTATTGGAGCCAAAACATGGTCAAGTGGGTTCTATAGGCATATGTGTATAGTCTGTATATAGTGGTATGTGTATATATATATTATATATATATGATGCTATAGTGGTATAAATAAATAGGATATAGTGGTATAGTGGTATACTATATATAACATAATGTATATATTCTTTCCATTGCATCCATCGCATGCCGTGAGTAGAGGACCTCCAATCGCGCCAAGCGTAGGCTCCATCGACGGAAGTGGAGGAGGAGAAGATCCAAAAGAGGGTTACCTGGTTGACGCCCGGCGATTGGTTTCTGCACGCTTCTGAACATGGTGTGGCGCATACTCGCATATGAATCTGGTTTGGCATCGGACAGGCCCTCACAGAGATCCAAGCACATTGCAGATGTTTCCCAAAAGTGGAAAAATAGAAGGCATTGACATGCACCGACCCTTGAAATGGTATCCCTTTTTCCTGGACCAGTGGTTTTCTTTCTTGTCGATGTTGGTGGGAGGAAAGCACTTGCAGCAATCATGGACATCCAACGAAGTTGGCCCATGTTTTGTATGTTATTGTTGGAATTGTGAGGAGGGGCTCCCGCCTCATTGATTCTAGAAGATGCAGGGAGACGACTTTTCCCATGCTTATTTGGCAGGATCACACTTGATGGGATTCTGGAAAGCACAAGAAGGATCCGTGCTATGATTCGATGCGAGGTAGGATGAGGGATCACTATCTAAGGAACAGCAACATTTTCCCAGACCGCCGCATTGACAACGAGGCATGGGCGCTCCAACCAGAGCTTTCAGTTCCCTGTCCTGGTCGGGTCTCACAAGATGCCCCACCGACCTCGAATTAGCTACGTACTCAAAATCACTTGCACTTGGAATGTGGCTTTCCTTTTTTGATTCCTTTTTGTGAAGAACACGATGTTCATGTGAGGGCCGTCCGTTATTGCCAGTGAAGGAATTTAGATGAAATGTTAAAACATACATGTCGCGAAAGGGAAACTGCAGTCCGCGAAAGGCCGGCGATAGGACGGCGAAAGACATGTGCCAACCTAGACTTATAACACACAATGTGCATAACATTACAATACATGACAATACATGACACATCCTTTTTCCCGAACAGAAACACGGATTTTCGCGAAAGGGCCGCGAAAGGCCGGCGGTAGGCCCGCGAAAGGGCGCATTGCCTGGAAGGGCATCTGCCCATCCATGGCCTTGAAACCTTTGTTTAGATATCCCAAACACTGTGAACTCAGTGCAATGGAACAAGCTTATCACAATGCGCGAAAGGAACACCTGTGGTTTTTCTGCAAACGCGAAAGGACCGCGAAAGGCCGGCGATACAAGCTCAAAAAGAAGAGCTTTGTTGGACAACCCCCATGTGTCAAAAGGATCTATGGCTCCATGAGTGTCGTTTGATTTCTTGAAACCTCGCGGAGGCCATTGGGGCCATGTTTGGCCTGGGCATTGCGCGGGCCTTCGAACTCCTCAAGGAGATGGAAAGCAGCTCTATCATTGGAATCATTTGCCGTTGGATTAATACCATTTGTGGGACAAGATGATATTGGCTCGACACATTATATTGGAATCATGTCCGTGGCGCTCGACACATGAGCTCATTGACACTCCTTTGTGACGTTGTATTGATGCTACATGAATCATTTGGTACCACTATGCCACTTGCAAATCGACGCCAATGCACGGATTCTATGAACCCTCAGTCGGAGGCATTCAATAGTCAGATACACACCGAGAGGTCACACATTCTCACAATTACAAAGAATCAGGCCAATATATACCCTGGTTTGCATTCGACGCTCCGGCCAATATACCCCCAACTCCCGCTTTGTCCCATTTCCTTTGCAGATGGTCCAGCTGCTATGCCGCAACTATATATACGATCTGCAACATCATACGTAGTTCCCAGGGGGATAAGCACCCTTGAAGCTTCCAAACCATTCGGCAGGGCTTTTAATTGGGTGATGTGTAAAGCGTGTGTGTGTGTGTGTGTGTGTGTCCACCCCTGGACAAAGGGTTTCCTTCGACCACTCCAAC